GCCCAGGTGGGTCTTGAACCCGCGGGCTCAGGCAGTCCACTCACCTCAGCCTCCCAAAGGTGTGGGATTACAGGCTGAACCACCGAGCCCGGCTTCCAGGCTGGTCTTGAACTCATGGGCTCAGGGAGTCCTCTCACCTTGGCCTACCAAAGTACTGGGATTATAGGCGCGAGCCACTGTGCCCAGCCCCTGAATTTTATTTTTAGCAGTTATACATGGTCATAATTTAAAGTCAAGGCTTATAACAAAAAATGACAGCCCATTCCTCCCATTCGGTATTCCCACTCTGTATAGGCAACTAACTGCTTTCAACTCTTAAGAGTTTTTCTGATACTGACTCCATGTTTCTAAGTAACATGCTTATACTATTAACTTTTTTTAAAAAAAAGGTATTTATTTCATACCATGTAAGATTAAACTCTTATAGACCCTGTTTTCTGGATCCCTCTGGATGACTTTATTTTTCCCCTGCTGGTTACCTTTTCTCCAACATTTTATGATTTGAAATGTACAGTAAACACCCATAAACTGAGCACCTGGACAGTACAGTTGTCAATATCATCTATCCAACAATCCCTTGATTATATTTTTAAGTAGTTTTTGTTAATCTGCTTCCAAGATCTTCCCCCTTTTATTTGGGTTGTAATCTAGAACACGAATCAGTCTTCAACAACTTGGCAATTAGCCAAATATTTGAGTCTCTGTTATGTGCTTAGGACATGATAGAATGGAAGGTAGCATTTGTATCCTGAAGGAATTTTCAACCTAGTCAAGGAAGAAAGTAGATAGTTAACAATTCAGGAGCAAGTAAACTATAATAGTATAAGAGTGTGATTTCTGATTTAATATAGAATTATTGATAAAACATTATAACATGTATGCTTTAAGTGGGAAGTTCACTTTAACCATAGGCTATACATATACACACACATATATGTGTATATATAAATTTGTATGCAGAAAGAAAATAATCCTCACATCATAAATGAAGATTATGTTCTTTAGCTCAGTGTTTTCTTTCTCTTTTATGTCCCAATCTTCCCTCTAGCATAGTTTTGCACATGACCAAGAAGTCAAAAAGGGGTCTACCATGAAAAGATGCCTTCCTCAGTACCCTAGCTACTACTAGTTTCCCTCCCCAGAAGCAACCTCTGTAAGACCAGTTTCTTTCAATCTAGAGCTGCTTTATATATGTAAAAAGCATACCTGTATTTTTTTTTTTTTTTGAGTCATCCAGGTTGGAGTGCAGTGTCATAATCAAATTTTATTTGATTAGCAATCCCCCTGGTTTATAATCCATCTATTAACCAAATCTTAATTGCTTTTTGACGCTCAGAATTACTGGGCTTTGTTTATCTTTGTTGAATCTCAAGTCAAAAACGAAAGAGCACTGATAAGCTCAAATTTTTATTAACAATGCATCCTTGACCAGCTGGGACTCCAGGTGTACACCACCATGCCCAGCTTATTTTTTGATTTTTTTTTTTGTAGAGATAAGGTCTTGCTATGTTGCCCAGGCTAGTCTCAAAGTCCTGGGCTCAAGTAATCCTCCCGCCTTGGCATCCCAAAGTGCTGGGTTTACAGCTGTGAGCCAAAACGCCGGGCCCATGTGTGTATATCTATATGTAAATATATTAACGTACAAATAGTGGCATACATACTGCTCTGGTACCTGCTTCTCTGAGTAGTGTTTTCTTTCCTACTTTGTGAGTACTTCGTTTACTTTGGATCCCCTAGATCATAGTGTGCATCACATCTTCCATTCTTTTCACATGCAGGTTATAGTCCTGTATTTGTCTTCAGATCATAGACACTTATTTTCTATTTGTAAAGAGAAGAACTGGAGAAGACAATGTTCTCACCCCATTCACCATTAGCATGTCTTAAAAAATTTCACCTAGAAGCTGTAGGATGAGCTGCCTTAAGTCATTCTTGAATCTCCTTTTAGCTGGAAGTAATGAGGAAAAGGGAGATCAGCAAGATAAAACAGTCCTCATATGGAAGAGTAAACCACCCACTGACTGACCTGTTAAGTGAATGGACACTCAGATTGTAACCTCAATTATGTGTACAAATTCCCAAGGAACAAAACATGTTATGTTTTCAACATATTGAAACCCATATTCTCTTATTTTCATTTTGCTTTACTATGATGTGTCACATGACGATTCCAAGTAAAAGCTAGCAATCCCCCTGGTTTATAATCCATCTATTAACCAAATCTTAATTGCTTTTTGACGCTCAGAATTACTGGGCTTTGTTTATCTTTGTTGAATCTCAAGTCAAAAACGAAAGAGCACTGATAAGCTCAAATTTTTATTAACATTGGCACAAATACATAATTCTTTTAAATTATATACCATTTTAGAGTTTTGAAGGAACTTTCATATATACATGCCAATTATACCCTCACAACATCCCTGTGAGGTAGGCAGGGTAGGTGTTATTTTCCTATTACTAGTAACAAGGCTAAGAGGTGAAGTAACGTCACACAGTTGTTAAATGATGGAGCCAGGACTAGAACTTAAGCCTTCTGACATGCAGCCTCCCTGAGAACATTCAAGTAATGATATCCTATGCTACATAATGATCATTTCTCTCCTATGATGTTGATCAGATCTGTTTTCATGTTTTATCTGTTTTTATGTCACCTTTCCCTGATATCCAAAAACACTCAAACTGTGATGAGACATTTCTTCCCTGTTATTGGACTATTTCTCAGATATATCAAGCACCAACCTAAGATGAAACTTACATTTAAGTGTTGAAGATCCTTGCCTACAAATTCTAAATTATTGTATGAAAGTTTATTTTAGAAGATTCTGTAAAAGTGTGTCAAGTATGTTGAACTTACTTAAGCTAAACAAAAACAAAACAGTTCTGTTTATATTGTCAAAAGCTTTGTAATCTTTCCCAATACAATTTTTAGGCTTGTGTAAATGGAAAATAGGGAAAGATATTCAGTAACATTACAATATTCCTGAGGAACCTATGCAGAGTGCACCTAAATGCAAGTCACATCACAATAATTTGTTTTCCTTTTGGCCTTATAGAAGACGGAGAACCATCAGTGTCTACTTTCAGGTTTGATCCCATCTTATGTGTGACATCCTCAGCAATAATCTAAAGAAATGATCTGAATTATACCAACAGGAGAGTTCAAGCAGTAGTGATCAAAACATACACATATGGTAGAAAGGAAAAAAAACACTTGTTCTTTAGTGGTTTTGTCTAGGCCCAGTGTAAATAAAGCAGATTTTAAGCTACAGCATGGTGAAGTTATTAACGGAATACAAGACTGAAACTGAATGTCATTAACTGACCCAAAACTACCTGTCAAAAGCATGGTAAAGCTCAACAGGCATGAAAGGCAAGGGATGAAACCCAACTGCTCAGGTATGGAGTGAAAAATTAAGAGCAAATGCAAACTCTCAGGTTAAAGTGAAACAACATCAGGCATGTAGAGCATGGTTTAAAAAATATGAAATTGATACTATCAGGAATGAGATTTTAAAAAATTCCAGTTATGGCCTTTTATTTAAGAGCAAGGGGAGAAACTTAAAGCCTATGGGGGGGGGCACAGAAAATGAATGGATCTAAAGAGGAGTGGAGGAGTTGGGAAATTAGGGAAGACCAAAAAACAAATACATTCAAAATGGATTTAGAATCCCTCTAAATCCATCCTTTCCAAAAAATGTTTCTTAAACTGAGAGATTTGGTCAAAAAAGCTAGTGAAAATAAAAGTGACTATTTTACCTAAATGTAGATTAGATATGCTGTTGAAGATTAGTCTAATGACCAGGCTGTAGAACCTGAAACTTAATTGCTGCTGTCAGTGATACAAGGTAGAAAATGCTCCAAAAATAGAACTGCCATAGTAGCACTCAATATTAATGAAGCTATTAAGAAATAAGTATTTTTTGTACTTGAAGCCTAATGAAAAAACAAATTTGTACTTTTGCTAAAGAAAGCAAACACTTCTAACTAATGCAAAAAATATTGCAGCTACATTTAAATTTTTAAAGCTAAAACAGGTCTAGAATATTCTAATTCACTATATGGTGCTCAAAACCACCTATACTTTTGAAATGCAACTAGACTACATTCTTTACATAATATCATTGTCATCGTCATCTTCATGTTTTCTCTTCAGTGGGTTTGATTCATTGGCTGTGTTCTGTGACGAAACCATGTTGGTGGTAATAAGAATATTTTTGGGCCCAATCATTGAAGGATTAATCAGAACATTTTGAACTGCAGTTGTTGCAGGAACTGTAAACACAAAAGAAAGGCCCCCCCCACAAATTATGAATTACCCAGAATCTAAAACATACGGTAAAAAGTGCAACAAAGACAAATGTAATTCTAGTAACAATTTCACTAGCATGAAATGTAACTACATCATAGAAGAAACAGGTAATTATACTGCATTAAGAGTTAAATTGTAAAACAAATCTTTATTATTTTTTAATTGACAAATGATTGTGCATATTTATGGGGTACAATGTAATGTTCTGATCTATGTATACATAAAGATTAAATCAAATGTATCTGGTACAAGGCTAAAGAAGTTGTTATATTTTATAACTACCTAAAATTTCAATTAGTAGTTATGGGAAACTGTACTGGATTCATCATGCAACATACTAAAGGCACACGTTCAAAGTTAGGAATCATGCTTCCCTTATAAGCCAATATTTTACAGAAGTTGTTTATTGTACGCTGTTAGGTTTCAGATGTGATATCTAAGCATATGCATTATTAAACTGCTATATCAGAAATTCTATTTATATTATTTCAACTATACACACACACACATATTTTCTTTCTTTCTTTTTTTTTTTTTTGAGTTGGAGTCTCACTCTGTCACCCAGACTGGAGTGCAGTGGCCGCTCCTGGCCACCGCAGCCTCGACCTGCTGGGTTCCGGCGATCCTTCCGCCTCAGCCTTCCGAGTAGCCGGAATTACAGGCGCGCGCTACCACGCCCGGCTAATTTTTTGATTTTATTGTAGAGATGAGGTCTCGCCTGCCCAGGCGGGTCTCGAACCCGTGGGCTCAGGCAATCCACTCACCTCAGCCTCCCAAAGGCGTGGGATTACAGGCTGAGCCACCGAGCCCGGCTCATATTTTCTATGAAGTGAGTAAAGGTACAATTTACATGTGAATTTATATTTCTCTTCTGGATTCTACACACATATTTTTCACTAAGTTGTATCATTTTCTTGAGCTTTTGTCCTAAGTGCTCTTCCCTGAAGATGCCTTAGATTTGAAGACCCTGCTTGGTTCACAGTGTTCTTTGAAAATTTGATGAACACATTGAACACTCTTCCTTCCTCCCCAAAATGTTACATATATGGTAGTCTCCCCTTATCTGTGGTTTCACTTTCCATGGTTTCAGTTACCTGTGGTTAACCATGGTCCAAGAATAGGTGAGTACAATACCAAAAAAGTTTTTGAGAGAGACACCACATTCATATAACTTTTATTAAAGCACATTGGTATAACTGTCCTATTATTAGTTTTGTTGTTAATCTCTTACTGTTTTTAATTTACAAATTAAACTTTATTATATGTATGAATGTATAGGAAAAACCAGTATATGTAAGGTTTGGTACTAACTGGTTTCAGGCAGCCACAGGGGGATCTTGGAACATATCTTTTGAGGATAAGGAGGGGAAGATTACTGTATGTAAAATTTCATACAAAGTCAGAGGGCTCAGACTCCTCTGAAGAACCCTGATTTGCAGCATTACTGCCACCTTCCTGTTGTATATTAAAGCAATTTAACTCCTGCTATAGGAACACAAAGTGTTATACAATTGCAAATTATTCACAAATTCTGTCCCTGCCATCACATTACCTGGTTTTACAGGTGTGGATTGAGAAGGTGGAATCTGTACTGTAAACCTTTGGCTTGTCACCGACACTGGAGTTGCAACTTTATTTGGGACAGACACTGTTTGTGGAGTCGCTGAAGTTATAATCAACAGACCATGTTAGTTAGTTTACTTGTTATACAGATTTATATTCTGTACTCCTTAGCTTACCAGAAACTACCTTCAAAGCACAGGGAACTAATGAAAGGCGAGAAAAAAATGATTAGAAATAAGAGCAAAGTAACTTCTAAAAAGTTTACAAGCTTGATTAGATGCTATAAAATTAAGTATAGTGTAAAGAATGTAGGCTCTGGAGTTTGAATCCAGGCTCTATCACCATCTAGCTGAGTGTCCTTGGGCAAGTTATTTATATTTTTTTACCTCAGTATTATCTGTAAAATGGGGATAATAGTATCTATTTCATAGAATTCTTGTGAGATTTAGTAAATAATCTATGTAAAGCTCTTCAAACAGCATCTGATACATAGCAAGCACTGAATTTTAGCTAGATGAAGCCATGAAGTTGAGAGTTTAAACTACCAGGATAAGGACCAACGTTTTCTATTAATTACCTTAGTTGGCACTTTAATCTGTTACTTGCTGAGAATTAGATGTCCTCGATGCCATGAAGCTAAACTAGCATGCATCTAATGAAAGCAGCTGATCAAATATACCTTTGGCTTTCCCAGGTAAAATTTATCCCTTTTCTATGTTCAGAGACTTTAAGCAGAGGGTACTTTGGAGATAACCTAGCTCAACCCTTCACCATCTAAATTCTACCCATTATTCCAAGGTACAATTCAAATACCACCCCATTTTATAAAAATTTGCTCAGTTAAAAGTCTTATCTCCTGCCTCTTAAGTTACCTTAATATGTCATAAGGGTCTTATTAGTATGCTATCTCATTGAGTAGATTACAAGCACATTGGCTAAAATTTTTTATCCTTGTGAGCACATGGCTCTTGTGCCTTGTTCCTAATAGGCACTCAACAAATGTTTGCTTAATGACTGAATTTTTTTTTTTTTGAGTTGGAGTCTCACTCTGTCGCCCAGACTGGAGTGCAGTGGCCGCTCCTGGCCACAGCAGCCTCGACCTGCTGGGCTCCAGTGATCCTTCCGCCTCAGCCTTCCGAGTAGCTGGAACTACAGGCGCGTGCTACCACGCCCGGCTAATTTTTCGATTTATTGTAGAGATGAGGTCTCGCTGCCCAGGTGGGTCTCGAACCCGTGGTCTCAGGCAATCCACTCACCTCAGCCTCCCAAAGGCACGGGATTACAGGCTGAGCCACCGATTCCGGCTGAATTTTTTAAGTCTCAAAGACTTGATATATATACTGACATCATTGCTCACAAAAATACATTTAAAGAAATGTATCTGTTTCCCACTTTTCCTTTGGGGTTATAGGCTTTCCAATACATCCTTTTCCCTTGGAACCAGCAGTCTACCCAGGGATAAAGTTGCTGAAGACACTACAACTATCATCAACTCTAGGGACAAAGGGGAGGGAAAGTCTAAATGGGGAAAGAAAGAAAGAAAGAAAGGAGGAAAGTAGGAAAGGAAGAAGGGAGGAAGGGAGGGAGGGAGGGAGGGAGGAAGGAAGAAAGGAAGGAAGGAAGGAAGAAGAAAGAAAGAAAGAACTCAGTTATCTGATTTCTAGTGCTTTCTCTACCAAACCCAGAAGCTGAGTCCTTACTCTAACATATCTCCATCTCTAGGTAAGTTTTCCCATGCTTGAAGAGTGGCTCTAAGAATTTGGTGAAGCTTAATGAAGATAGCTTTCTATTTTGTCAAGAAAAAAAGTATTTTATTTTGTCAAGAAAAAAGATTCATAGTATGTAGATGCTTTCTTGGCAGGTATGGAGTTTAGGTTTTAAAACTGAACAGAGTAGATACTTAGGTCTTAAGGTCTAGATGACTTAAATTATTTTAAAGTTTAAAACTTGCATCTTTTTAATAAGAGTTTTTGGCAGTGCTCTCTAGACTTACAAAATCTCTGCCCAGGCGCTATGACTCAAGCCTGTAATCCCAGCATTTTGGGAGGAGGCCAAGGTAAGAGGATTGCCTGAGCCCACAGGTTCGAGAACAGCCTGGGCAACTTGACGAGACCTCATCTCTATAATAAATAAAAAAATCAGCTGGGTGTGATAGTGTGTGCCTGTAGTTCCAGCTACTTAGAAGGCTGAGGCGGAAGGATTGTTGGAGCCCAGCAGGTCGATGCTGGGGTGGCCATGAGCGTGCCGCTGCACTCCGGCCTGGGTGATGAAGTAAGACTCCAACTCAAAAACAAAACAAAGACAAAAAATATCCCCAAAGCATGTACAACAAATGTCTAGCTAGGAATAAAAATCACAACTGATAACTAAAATTGACTAACTTGCCTAACACATGCAACTCATTACAATAGCCTAGGGGTTTAAAAAATTGGTATCACTTAAGTAATGTGAATCCACAGATAAATAGTATATGATAAAAAGTTACACAGTATATATGCAAATTTCAAAGGTCGCATGTAGGTAATTAGACATGTAAAATTAATATTATACCAAGCTGGCTTTAAAATGCTGAAATGTAAATTTGCATCCTGAGGATATTAAGAGACGGTCTACATACCTCAAAAATCATGTTCTGTTTATTTTAGAGCTATATAACAGCTACAGGACTCAAGTTAGAAACAGTAAGAGCCAAGAAATTAATATTGGTAGAAGGGGAATTTTTTTGGAAAATACTCTGATTATAAAGGACTCAGTGACAATGTAGGAAAAAGTCAGGAAGCCTAAGTATATTGTTTGTTTTCCTTATTACCTAAATTAAATGACATTAAAAAGAAACAAATAGGCTAGGCTCTGTGGCTCAGCTTGTAATCCCAGCACTTTGGGAGGCTGAGGTGAGTGAATTGCCTGAGCTCACGGGTTCAACACCCGCTCAGGCAACTTGGCGAGACCTCATCTCTACAATAAATCAAAAATTAGCTGGGCATTGTAGTGTGCCTGTGTAGTTCTGGCTATTTGGAAGGCTGAGGCGGAAGGATTGCTGGAGCCCAGCAGGTAGACATTGAGCTGGCCGTGAGTGTGCCACTGCACTCCAGCCTGGGCGACAGAGTGAGACTCCAACTACAAAAACAAAAAACCAAACAAAAACAAATAATGGTTTTTAAACGCCATTTTCTACTAAAAAGAACCAGAGCTCTTTGGGCAAGTGACTGATTCTAGGTCCTGGGCTGGAAAAAAATAAGATGGCCTTGGAACATCTTGTGTCAGAAAGCTAGAAGTGCTCACAGAATCATGGGGATCTGTCAAAAAAGGACACAGGAACCAGCCTGAAGGGGATCCCGCTGACAACACAGGACAGTCAGTACTATGTTTTAAAAAAGGTTAGTATTAAAAATAGAACTGGTTTTTCTCAAAGATCTTTAATTTTTTATACATTTTAAACTTTCTACTGTATTCTCTTACTGATTTATTCAGAAATTTCTTTAATTTCTAATAAGTACACTACTGTCATGAGTGTGTTTGGCAACTTCATTTGTAGGGAAGACAGAAATAACACAGCTAAGAGTAAACTGTTTTTGATATCATAATTTATACCAACAACGTTGGGCAATGTCCCAATTTTATACTTACTTGCAATGAGGTATTCCTTGTAGCTTCCTCATTTTGAAATCCAGTAAAATGTATGTTTATAGTTTTACTAGTGGATGAGCAAGTTATTAATGACAACACACATACAGGAATTTCTGACTCACCTTTTGATTTGGATTATAGTTCAAGCCAAGTGCTAAGGCACTTCTTTACCAGCCAGAAAAGTCATTTCTCTTTCTCACTTACCTATAGTAGGAGTGGTAGGTCTGCTACTAACAGCACCAACACTTAACCGTGGAACTAGTCTTCCTTGGTTAGGTCCCTAGGGGAATTAAAAAACATTAGTTTTAATGTTGTTGGGATTTGATACCTAAATTTACCAGGAGTGAAATTAGGATTGCTGAAGTAAATTATTAGTGGATAATTCTTGGCAAGAATGTCCTGTTTTTGTACTATAAGTGTTCTAAATCCAACATTTAAACTAAGACTTTTAAAGTCTCAATTTCTCAACCAATTCATCTTTGACAAAGCTTCCAACTACAACCACCGGGGAAAGGAGAACCTATTCAGTAAATGGTGCTGGGACAACTGACTGGTCACATGCAGAAGATTGAAACAGGACCCCTACCTATCACCATACACAAAAATTAACTCTAAATGGATCAAAGACCTGAACGTTAAACCTCAAACTATAAGAATCCTAGAAGATGCAGGAGACACCCTTATGGAAGTTGGAACTGGCAACCAATTTCTGATCAGAGCCCTAAGTGCCCATACCTTAAGAAATAAGATAGACAAGTGGGACCTCATCAAACTGACAAGCTTCTGCAAAGCCAAAGAAACCGTCAAGACAGCAGGGAGACAGCCCACAGAATGGGAAAAAAACATTTACCAACTGTATATTTGACAAAGGCCTAACATCTAGATCTACAAGGAACTCAAATGTGCCAAAAGGAATAAAACAAACCTCCCCATTAAAAAGTGAGCAGCCAAACCGGGCTCGGTGGCTCAGCCTGTAATGCCGAGCCTTTGGGAGGCTGAGGTGAGTGGATTGCCTGAGCCCGCGGGTTCGAGACCTGCCTGGGCAGGGAGACCTTATCTCTACAATAAATCACAAAATCGGCCGGGCGTGGTAGTGCATGCCTGTAATTCCGGCTACTCGGAAGGCTGAGGCGGAAGGATCGCCGGAACCCAGCAGGTCGAGGCTGCGGTGGCCGGGAGCGGCCACTGCACTCCAGTCTGGGCGACAGAGTGCGACTCCAACTCAAAAAAAAAAAAAAAAAAAAGTGGGCAAAAGAAATGAATAGACACTTCTCAAAAGATATACGGGCAGTCAACAGACACATAAAAAAGTGTTCAGCCTCACTCATCAGAGAAATGCAAATCAAAACCACATTGAGATATCACCTAACCCCAGTAAGAATGCCATCTTTAATAAAACAAACAACAGATGCTGGCGAGGATGTGGGGAAAAGGAATGCTTCTACACTGCTGGTGGGACTGCAAACTAGGGCAACCTTTCTGAAAGTGGCAATTTCTGAGAGAACTAGAAATTGATCTTCCACATGACTCAGCAATTCCCCTATTGAGAATATACTCGGAAGAACTCAAGTCATTCTACAAAAAAGATACCTGCACACGTATGTTTATTGCAGCTCTATTCACAATAGCAAAAACATAGAACCAACCATGCTGCTCATCGAAGCTGGACTGGATTAAAAAAAACGTGGTACATATACACAATATTATACAGCCATTAAAAAGGACAAACATATGGACTTTGCAGCAACTTGGATGGATTTAGAGTCGATCGTACTCAGTGATCTATCACAGAAACAAAGAACAGAGTACCATATGTTCTCACTCATAAGCGGAACTTGAACAATTATAATACTATAAGAAAGGAATTGGCAGTAGTGGGAAACTGCCAAGGGAGGGGGGGTGGGACTGGCAGTTGAGGGAAACTGCTAGGGGAGGGAGGGGCATACCTCATCAACAAGGGTACCTGCATAATCAGCATTTGTATACCTAACCCTGAATTGTACCCCACATCTTTAAAAAAAAAACAAACAAAAACTAAAGCACTTTTTTTTGAGTCAGGGGTCTCATTCTGTCACCAAAGCTGGAGTGCAGTGGCTCGATCATGGCTCACCATAGCCTCTAACTCCTGGGCTCAAGTGGTCCTCCTGCCTCAGCCTCCTAAATAGCTGTGGCTACAGTCACAAGCCACCATGCCTAGCCAATTTTTGATTTTTTTTGTAGAGACAAGGTCTCACTATGTAGCCCAGGCTGGTCTTGAACTCCTGGGCTCAAGGAATCTTCCCACCTTGGCCTTCCAAAATGCTGGGATTACAGGCTTTGGCCTCTGCACCTGGCCTAAACTAAGATTTTGGACAAACATATACATGTATGTATAAACATAGATATGAATATATACAATCCTATGTAGTATTTAAGGCAGAGAAAAGCATTTGAATGATGATAACAGCTAACTTTCTTATAATTTTTCATCTTAACTCAGTTTATTTTTTTGTTTATTTTTGGAGCTGGAGTCTCACTCCATCACCCAGGCTGGAGTGCCGTGGTATACTCATGGCCACCCCAGTGTCAACCTGCTGGGCTCCGGTGATTCTTACACCTCCGTCTTCCAAGTAGCTGGAACTACAGGTGCACGCAATCACTCCTGGCAAATTTTTTTTTAACTTATTGTAGAGACGAGGTCTCATCAAGTTGCCTGGGCTGGTCTCGAACCTGCAGGCTCAGGCAATCCACTCACCTCGATCTCCCAAAGTGTTGAGATTACAGGCTGAGCCATCCAGCTTGGCCTAGTCAATTTCTTAACTTCAAAAGAAGTAAAACTCTCTTATAGTGGAATTTCAGAAAACAAAGGTAGCCCAATGTGGGGAAAAATTTTTCGTAATTGGAGAACATTAGGTCATATTTCAGAAAGCAGGTCCAATTCCTGATAGTGTATCATTCATTTTGTTATTAGGCCTCACTAAAAAACTATGGTATAGTGGGAAGATTGGGAGTTATGGGACTTGGGAATTGGTCCTATCCTTGCTACTAACTCCATAAGTGAGTCCAGGCTCAGCTTTCTGATGTGAAAAATGACTGTTGGGTTAGATGAACACTAAAGTTCCTTCTAGCTCTAAAAATTCTAAACAACAACAAAAAAAATTCAAGTAAGTTATTTTAACCTTTAATCTATTGCACTAGCCATAGGAATTTGCTTTCTACAAATTCTCCTATCATATTCCACTTTTTTTAATAAAAAAAGCAAAACTGACTAAAAATTCTTACCTTTTTAATTAAGGACTTCAGCCTATAGTTTGGAGCTGTTAAACAGTATCTATCAGGTGGCAGTCTAGGTCCTGCATATGGTTTAATCAGTGGCAAAGGGGTTTGATTTTTCTGCCTTGCAATATCTAGTAAAAACTAAAAAAAAAAATCCTTATTAGAACTACAATTTTAAAAATGGTAAGTTAAAGTAACTTCAAACAAAAGTTTGCTCACATCTCTTGGGGGAGGAGAGGTAAAAGATTGGTCAGCACGACACTGGATTGCTAGTCTCACATCATCTGCATCAACATTAGGTTTCTTAGCATGGCTTGAATAAATTTTTGCATCATCCAGAATTGTAGTCACATATCCTTTAAGAACAAAACAATTTTCTCTTAAACAAAGGAAGACAATTTAACACTTATGGCCACTCGTCTTAAAAGGCTTCACTAATTTCTAGACAGTTTGTGAATTTTGGTTTTAATAGCTAATTGTCCTAGCTATATGATCAATTTTAAAGAAACATCACAGTATAAATACTACTATTCCTTACCTTGAGCTACCTTTTACTGCTTTAGGCTGAAGTCTGTGATTTTAATTATTAACACAATTTGGTTGAAAATGTTTTTACGATAAAATGATCCTTTCAAATTCACACGTTAGGCAAGTCTTTGGTGTTTTGTTAACTTACGGAAAGCAAATTCCAACATTTGATTTATAACTCTTGGTTCGTACTCTGTGATTCCCATATCCTTCAGGATCTGTGCCATCACCTGTGGATTCAAATAAAAATGGCAGATGCAGAATGTGACTGAAGGTAGTATTTGTATTTATGATACAATATTATCCTTTTCTGGGCTCCAAACTTCTACTCATCCTTGTTCTCCCAAGTGAGTGTCAGTGATCACACCAAATCACATAGTACGCTCTTGCTGAAAATTTTTATTTTGGGGGGGGTTGGGGAGGCGAGGGGCAAAGAGAGAAGAAAAAGAACAGATTCGCTTTCCCAGCAGAGGGAGGGTGGCCCCAGCTGGTTGTCATTTTCGGATGTGGTGGTGGAGGAAGCTAGCCAGCATCAGAACCCTAGACGCAGACTCAGGGCTTGCAGATGGAGCAGGACGACTAGGCGGCCGGGGCCCGAAACCCAGGAGACAGAGCCGGGCAGCCGGCCCACGCGCATTCCGGTGTACCTCGACCCTCCCGCAGGGTTCGGCCCAGGCGGCGAGACAGCGGCCCGGGGATCAGAGCGCACCCGCATCAGCCTTTCCTCCTGCGTGCCCTAGCTGTGTCGAAGCCGAGGCTGAAGCCCACTCTCAGGCCCCCAGCCTGGCACTGCCTCACAAGTCCCTGGCTACGCCGGGCTTCGCGCTTCGCCTTTCATCCTTCGCACTTACCAAGGCATCTCTTGGAGCGTTCTTAGGAAGCGCCATCTTGCCCGGCTCCATGTTATCCGGCCGCTCGTCATCCGGGGAGAGAGAGCAACTCAAGGGCTCCCGGCTCAGGCTCCACCCCTGCGGGGGGCAGAAGGCGGCGTTATGCGCCCGCTGGCGGGCAGGCGGCCGTTTCGCAGCCGCTACCCCGAGTCTGCGCCGACCGCGGGATTCCTGGCTCGCTGAGATCCGTGTTCAAGTGCTGAAGAGTGGGGGCCGTTTCGGGAGGATTGGAAGAGGCGAGTAAACCTTCCCCGGGGACCCTTGCCAGGGGCTTAAAGGAGGCAGAAGAGTTGAGAAGCTCGTCTTCCTAAAGGAGTTGGCCTGCAATGTGCACCAAGTGGTCCGCCCTCATCTTCGCTGTGGTCTCTCCTCACGCTTCCCCTCCTACCACCTTAGCCTCTTCCAGCTCCCTGGAGTAACTGCTTCACTGTTAGGGCTGCCTGGCCCAGCTGGTTGTCATTTTCGGACCACCCAGTTACAATGAAATGTCATATCAACAACAAATACATTTTTAGTATAACCCAAATATTGCACGAGCCATATTTACACCACAAAGTTATTGTTGAACTGATATTTCAGTTTAACCAGGTGTCCGGTATTTTTACTTGCTAAATCCAATAACTCTACCCAATGCCTTGCTCTTCGCACAGTAGGACTTTGGTCAGCTTTTGTCACACTCAAAGCCCTGTCATAGGCTGTTCATTTCACTCTGATGAAAAACTAAAGTCTTCACCACCTGCAAGTGTTCCGCTGAGGCCTACACAGGGCCCTTACTTGCCTCCCAGGTGTCGTCCTCCCTCCTGCCCCTATTCTACACAGAATAGCCTCAGTGACTTTCTTAAAGACCTTCATCCAGCCCAAGTGACATAGAGCAACTTGGCGAGACCTGGGTGGGTCTCAAACCTGCGGGCTCAGGCAATCCACTCGCCTTGGCCTCCCAAAGTGCTGGGATTACAGGCTGAGCCACCGAGCCTGACCAAGAGATGTTGTTTATAAATTATTTTACTTCTGCCATTTCTCTGGGAAGTTAGGAAATATAACATCATTTAAAAAATAATTTACTGCCGGGCTTGGCGGCTCAGCCTGTAATCCCACGCCTTTGGGAGGCTGAGGTGAGTGGATTGTCTGAGCCCGCGGGTTCGAGACCTGCC